GGTGGCAGGTTGCAGGGTGCGCTTGGGAGGAGATTTCCGGGTGTTTTTTCAGCCCCTTCCAGCACAACCCAGGTGAAATCGCATGGAGTCACTGTGGATGTTGTATATCCTCCTCTCACAAAGTTATTTTTGCTTCCGAAGGGTTTGTCTGCCAGATTTTGAACGTTCGCTTTCTCCTTTTTTGCTACGGGCGTATGTTCCGAAGGGCCTTTTCCTTCATCTTTCTGAATTCGGTTGGGTGGTTTCAAGGCTTTTGGCAAAAAGCCAGAACGAGGTTTTTGGGGGTTGATGGTGGAAAACTGCCCCTTTGGAGAGACAGCACGTTGTTCGAAAGCGCTGTACGCAGTGCAGTGTGTGTTAGCAGGGCATGCGTCGCTGGGGCAGGAGTTTACCTTTAGACCGGAGGGTTTCTGTAGAGGGCTCTGAGGGTATGGGTGTTATCGGAGAAATCGGTAATCCCAGCGAGCAGATTAAGTTTGCTTAGCAAGATTAAAGATGGTCCTTCCAGTGTTACTGGATAAACAAAGCGAGTCATCTGCCATAAATTCTGCTGCTTTTACTGCTCCAATCCGGATTGATAACAGGGTTTACAGCAGACCAGCAGGACTGGTTTGGTTTGTGCTTCCAGGCCAGTGCCCTGGGGGTAGGTGCAGCCTCGAGCTCCAGCGCTGGTGCCTGGAGGCAGGTTTGATTCCACTAATACCCGGACTCAAAAGCAGAGAATGAGTTGGCGTTGTCCGCCCCTCTGAGATCAGCATCAGGGGAGCAGTGGGGAACTACCCGAAAGTCCCAAACCGTTCCCTGGAGGAAGGATTCCTCGTGCTGGAAGTCTTTTCGCAAGCGGTAGTTGATCTCAGCTGGGTTTCTGGGCTTTTTCTGTGCTGTGCAAAGGTTTCATCAACAGACAAAGAATTTTAATCACAAAAGTGTCATAGTCCCCATCAATTTTAGAGGGAAGAGTCTCACATAAGAGTCATTGAAAGTAAAAACTCTGCTTTTTGTGTCCACTGAGATCATCACTCTGGAGAAAAGTTTTAGTGTTTCCTTACCGCTGTTGCAGATTAGAAGGTTTTAATCATATTTCAGGTTGTTACTCTCTCTTACAAAGAACCCAGCTGAGAAAAAAATACCTTAATACTTCTTCTCAAGAACTAACAGGGGGCTTAGACTCTGCAAAATCATCCTGTTCCGTGTTAATAGTGAGGAGAGAAGAGTTTGTTCACAAACGAGCTCGTCCCGCTGCTGGGAAGGAGGGAGCGGTGAGTGGTGCCACTGTTCATCCAACGTACCTCGGTGCTGCGACGGGCAAAGTAGTTCAGAAAGAAACACGGACAGTCAGGGGCTTTGGGTGCTTTGCTGAGTGAAGCAGCTGAACTCATTCTCCCTTCCTGTGAGCTCGTGGCTATTTTATTTTTTTGTAATAGTTTATTTAGATGAACATACATTGCAGCAAACATTATCTAGGGTGGGTGTTAGGGTTTCCCTTTGAATAAGGAGATGGGGTTAAGCACAGAAAAACCTGTTGTGCTTTGTTATCTCTGCACTACGGCGTTCCATGGTCAAGCGACATTGCTTGCTGTAATTAATTGATTAAACTTTGCATGAAGTAGTTTCTGATTCCTTCCTGCTCCCTTGCTGGAACATGGATATTGACTATTTGCTCACAGCTCACCGAGGAGAAGTTGGAATTGCTGGAGCTGATCTTGAGCAAAAGATGGGATAGAAACCTGGCTTTGGCTATCTTTTTTTTCCCCCCTGGTTGTGGGTAAAGCTGCAAGTACTGGGAAGGCATCCCTGGAGCAGATGGTGCTGGCATGGATCCTCCTCAGGATGGAATTCAAGTTCCTTTCCCCGAGCCAGATACTCGGATCAGCCGGAGCGCAGCGCGGCTGCGGAGCGTGACTTGGTGCTTCCCGACGGGGTGAACTTCCGTGGCATTTCTAGACCCGGGTTAAAAATAGCCGAAGAATTCTCAGGAACGCTGTGTTGGAACAGAAGTTTGGGGATGGTTTCTCTCTGCGTCCCACTTCTCCAACAGTCATTTTTCTTTTTCTTCCACCTCTTCCCCAGGATCAGCCGTGTTTTTCTGGTGAACGATGTTTTTCTTCAGTAGTTTGGAGGAAACCTCCGGCAGATGGGTGCCCTGAGCTTATCAGCTCCTGTGGCTTGTCTCGGGGATGGGAGATGCTGTTTCCTCTTTTTGTATTTCTGCAAAATGTAGTAAATTGTTCTTGTGGGCATAGATCAAGTATGTTTCTTATCTTAAAGTGCTGACCCTGAAACACAGGAATTTATTTTTTTTTTTTTCCTGTATGGCAGGGTTGGAAGTCTCTTCGAGCAGGGCCACCCTGTAAAGGGCTTTTTGTTTTCAGACTCCAACAATTTCTGCTGGAAATGCAGTTGTGAGAAGCGTCTGTCGGGCTGAAGGGAGTGAAACCGCATCCTTCTCCTCGGTTGGTTTTGCTCTGGGATATGGTGCAATATTGGGGTTTATAGTTTGATTTTAGTGTGGAGCGTGCCCTGATCTCTGGCGCCTGGCTTGGGAAGAGCTCTTGTGACATCGCCTTTGGGTGAGGGACCGGGAGATGCCAGAAGACGGGACCGGCGTGTGAGAGGCTGCGATTTTCTGCATGAAATTCCTTTCAAAACTGCGTTAGGGGAAGAGCTTAGACTTGCAGACCATTGTTTAGAAACAAATTTTACATAAAAATTACTCTGAAAATGTCTAAAATTTTCTATTTCCTAAAATTTCAAGACAAAACTGTTGGTTTGCCTTTGGCTAAAGGAAGCCTTGGTGCCCTGGCTGAGCTGGGTGTTGAGTCTCCGAATCAGCATCTGATGTTGTTTTTCATGGCAGGAGGCAGGCGAGACTATCCGCTGTCGATTTGGGGAAGCGCGAGTTCTGCGCCGTGCTTGCTGATGAAAACACTGATGCCGCAGCATTTCTCCGGTTTTCTTTTTCCTAGCACAAAGAGTACTTTTCGTAGCATCTGGAATACTTCTTGGCTAGTTGAAAATCAATTTAAATCCAAACATACCTCGCCTGTGATTGGGAAGTCACATTTGACACAGCGTTGTTGCGCCTTTTATTCCTTAAAAGCCCGGCACTGCCCTCTCGTGATAGCTTGGGCGTACGGTGCGTGCTGGAGCTGCTTTTCTGACACAGAGATTATTTTTCGCAGTTACATTTGCGACTGAAATGCCGTTAAAAATGTTGTTTGCCTTCTGACTTTCCAGCATGACCTCACAAAGGTGCATTTTAAACATTGTGGTTTCATCTGCAATTGGCTTGGATTTTTTTTTTTTCTCTTCAAATTCGGAAGTAAATTGAGCAGTTTTGCTTTTTGGATTGAAAGGCGTTTTGAAATTGTGCCATCTGCATTTCTTTCAAGAATCGTCTGACACATTGCAGATACAAAGTATAGCGAAGCTACATTGTAAAAGACTAACTTCATTATTTTTACTGTAGCCTAGCACATGAAAAAGAAGAAATAGTAACTGGCCAAAGCTGTTATTTTTGTAACTAAATGTAGAAAAGGCTGAAGCCTTCTGGTGGAAGGCTTCGAGGGGCAGCTGGTCCCACGCCTGCTCTGGGTGGATGCTGGAAGCCGTGAGAATTTTGTTGTTGGTGAGCGCCGTGCGGAGGAGACACGACTTCCTCCGATGAATGGAGGGGGCGGTGGGAAGTCTGTGCTCTATATTTAGGCTCGATCTGATCTCTCAGCTGATGCTGGTGTCAGGAGCTCCCTGCTACTTGACCCTTCCTAGGGCCCTGCTAACAAATAGATGGATGTGGATTTTGGTCAGCTCTTCATGGCCGTGTTAGAGGATAGCGCTTACGGATACTTTCTTGGGGGAATAGGGGAGAGAAATGAAAAATATCCGCACGCCTTTCTGTGAAATGCATTAAAGCACATAGAAAGAAAACAAAGCTTTTTAACGAGTGTATTTTTTTTCTGCTTCTTTCTTTCTTTTTCCCTTTTTGTTTCCCCTCCTCAGGCCCTACCGCCACCCTAGAAGGATGGGGTCGGAAGCCCCCAGTCCGCAGAACCCGAGCTGTAAGATCATGACCTTCCGTCCCACCCTGGAGGAGTTTCGGGACTTTGGGAAATACATTGCGTACATGGAATCGCAAGGAGCTCACCGAGCAGGGCTCGCCAAGGTGAGTTGTCCCAGCTCAGGGTCGAAAGCATCCCGCAGGCTGCCTTCCCGAGGCTCTGCTCTCTGCGAGGTGTCTGAAGGGACATCGCTCAGAGGCAGTTGGCTTTCATGTCGTCAAGCAGAGTGTGTTTTTGAAAATTCTACTTGCAATCTCTGTTTGGGTTTATCGAGAGAGGAAAGGCAGAGGAGTGACAGGCACGAGGGAGAGAAGGGTTTTCTTGCAGGATGCTTTTTCCTGGTCCCGAACTGGAAGAGAAGGATGTTCCCAGTCCTTGCGGGGATGGGTTAAGGGTATTTCCGTGTCCGGCTCTGTTGCTGAGGACACAGATACTGGTAGCCATGGTCCTCAGGGGCTGGAGGCGGGACACCCCCAGGGTGCAGGGTAAAGGATCAAGATTTTGAAGTCTGCTTAGGTTCTGATGGGGGACAGACTTTTTACTCTTGCCTTTTTTATGTTCTGGGTTACCACTTTATGCTGACTTGAATCTAGACCTGTAAATGTGTCCTGGTTGCGATTCCCCAAATACCTGAAAGCCTTTTCCACCTTTAGGAAGCAGTTCTCCAGCCAGCTCTAAAAGCTCTTTACATTGAAACTAATGAAACATGATGAGAACTCTTCGTGTGAAGCTTCTAAATTCCATATTTAAAATATTCCATATTTTATGTCAAGGTATTAGTTGACATAAAACTGCTTGGAAAAAAACCAGGACTAAGTGATTAGAAGGAGTATTTCTGTGGCTCTATGTTCCACCGCAGGCTGAGGGAGATGGGTTGTTCTGACAAGGCAGTTGTTAGGTATGGTATTTAGCAGAACTTAATAAAGCACAGCAGAGAAATAAAGCTGTTAGGCATGAAATAATTCTTATTTCTTCTAAAACATGTTTTTATTACAGTTCTAAATAGAGCTGGGTATTGATAAAAAGCTCGCTGTGAAATGTTTCCCTGTCCACTCAAGTGTACTAGCAATTACATCCGTGAGTCTGCTAGGGTAGATTATTTTTAATAAAGGTTGTTGGTGAACTCCAGATGTTGTAAAGAAATTGCTTGTAGAACCAAATCTGAGCATTTCAAGTTAATTTTCCTAGCTCTCTATTGCAACTGCAGTTCAGAGCCTTGTAATGGACATAGAGCTCATCGTATCCTGGAGGAACCACACCCACAAAAATCAGAAACTTGTTCTCCAGTTCCCATAACTTTTTTTGGTTAATCCTTACATCAAATTAGACTGGAGATATTTTATTTTTTTTGTTTCATATGCCTGCTGAATGTCCTACTGATTGTTCTCTGATCTTGAGCCTAGAATTGTTGGCAGCTCTTCTGTTTAAAATTACAGCTTTTTCTCCAGATTCCGCACTGCTTTGCAGCAGGTTTTTTGCACAGCTTCCAAGAGTGAAGGAAGAGTTCTGGACACATTCCCCATGGTTTTCTTTTGTTCTTCTCTACCCCTTCCCCCTTTTCATTTAAGGAGCTGGTCTCTGATGTGTCACCTACAAATACAGAAACATCAACAGCAATAATGCAACAGGATTTTGAGCCTTCCCAGTTGAAAAAACCCAAACAAGCAAAACAAAAAAACCCAAAACCCACCCCCTCAAGAAGAATCTTTTACTGTCCCTGGCCACGTTCTGTGACCCTGCACTGATGGGGCCGCTAGCAGGCAGGCGATCACCCCTCTGACCGTGTCAGCCAGTCCTGCGCTTCAGCAGATGCAGAGCAGGTGTCTTGTATCTGTGCTGGTTAGTTGAGATGTTGCTGTTATCTGATAACCTGCAGCTGCATACCTTCCCCTTCAACAGTTTTTTTTCTTCAGGAGAGGTTGTGTTTGCCTGTTGTGAATGTGAAGTGGTTTATTGTTTTAATTTTTTTTTTTCCCCAATTCCAGGTGATTCCTCCCAAGGAGTGGAAACCTCGAAAAACCTACGATGACATAGATAAAATGGTGATCCCGGCGCCTATTCAGCAGGTGGTTACGGGACAGTCGGGATTATTCACCCAGTACAATATACAGAAGAAATCTACGACTGTGGGAGAGTACCGGCGTCTGGCTAATAGCGAGAAGTACGTTGGTATTCAGTATTGTGCTTACGTTGTGAATGGGGGAGTTGTGCAGGAAGCTTTTCTCTCTAGAAACAAGCTGAAAAGATAATGCTAAATAGGGAGCATTTTTTCCTGAAAGCTTACATCCAGAATCTCAAACTTGGTGGCTTTTGATCTATCTTAGATCTTTTTCTGGGAGTTGGTACAGAAAGATTCTTCAAAGTCAGTATTTGGATAAGAATCTGCTTGAAAAGTGCCTTTGGACTCAAAGAAGAGCTCTTGGTGTATTAATGGTTGTTCTCAAAAATGTGTTCCACTGCTGAGGTAGAAATACAAGTCTCTGGGAGTGCCTGAGCTATTATTAATAACCTGAGTGTCTTCTGAAGTGACCGGGAACTTTGCAGAACACTTCAGGAAGCTGGGACAAGCCAACTGGTACAAACCGCAGTTGCATCCTTTTTCTAGAGTCACTTTCCCAGAGCTCTGGAGTACTTTGGGATTTAACTCCAGCATTACTGTCATCATGCGATCAACTTTGAAATATTGTTAATACAGCATGTACATGAGTGCTTTCCCTGCCTTCAGCTCCCTGGGTAATAACTTCATCTCATACGTCCTTAGGATGGGGATCTGGCCCTTCACATAAGTGCACATCCTCTTTGCCAGTATGCAGAAAGAGGTTTTTTAGAAAAATTTAAAAAGCAATAAATTACATGAATCTGAGTAGAATTTAAAAATGAAATGCAGCTTCAGTAACCTCCTGACTGTGCTGACTTGGAAATGCGTGCTGCTTTTCGGTCGTTTATCTGTCATGAGGGTTCCTTAGGACTTCTTGCATCCTTATATTTTCCTTGTTCTCATCAGGTATTGTACTCCTCGCCATCAAGATTTTGAAGACTTGGAGCGCAAGTACTGGAAGAATCTCACATTTGTCTCACCAATTTATGGAGCTGATATCAGTGGCTCACTATATGATCCAGTAAGTGACGTGCTCCTCTCTTATTATCTGTCATGAGGGTTCCTTAGGACTTCTTGCATCCTTATATTTTCCTTGTTCTCATCAGGTATTGTACTCCTCGCCATCAAGATTTTGAAGACTTGGAGCGCAAGTACTGGAAGAATCTCACATTTGTCTCACCAATTTATGGAGCTGATATCAGTGGCTCACTATATGATCCAGTAAGTGACATGCTCCTCTCTTATTTTCAATATGGACACTGACTTCCTTATTGCTCTTTTATCATCTCGCTTTTCAGCCTCTTCCTTTCTTCAGCCCTTTCCTCCCTGCCCCTGTGGTTTTTTTTCTAGGTTGATTTAGAAAGTTTCAAGATGGGGCAGCTGGAGTTTCACTGTTTTGCAGTTCCCCAGCAAGCAGCATGAAGCTGGGATTGCTCGCGTACCTTGCATGCGTATTAAGTACACTGCGGAAAAAGGGGTGTGAAAGAAATGATTTCCTTTTGGAGATTAGCGTACCTTGCATGCGTATTAAGTACACTGGGGAAAAAGGGGTGTGAAAGAAATGATTTCATTTTGGAGATTGTATTACCCTTCAGGCGATCTCTAGGTTAAAGATTTGTACCAGTTTATGTGACTTTTTCTATTTCACATTGAAGTAGAGAAAAACAGCTATTATTTTAGAGCTTCTTTTTATTGGTCTTTCTGTTTAAATATGGATAATAGCAAAACTGTCTTCCCTGTTCTTTATCTGAAGCCCTGAGCTGATGTAGAGGCTTCTGCCTCTTTGGCCACGTTGCAGTCTAGTGTTTCTCATCAGCTGATAGATGTTCATCAGGTGAAGAACGTCTGGATGGAATATGTCATTGAGAGAAGTGTGTTTCACCCTTAGTTTATCTTCTATTAGTAGAACAGTTCGTTAATGGTAGGGTGTCACACAGTGCAAGTGCCTCTTCAGAGAGCGCCTCTAGTGAGAAGCTAGTCATCAATCCCTTCGCCACAACGTCGTGTTAACGCAGCCTTTCGTGGTTATTGATGAACTAAAAGTAAGCTTTCTGGAAGCAGGTGGAATTAAATGAATGCAGGTAACACTAGGATATCCACATTTTAATGCCCTGAAAGGAGCTGTGGGCTGTTCTGCTTATCAAGTCCTGATATGTTCCGGTACAAAACATTTCTTTTGAATTACAGGATGTGGAAGAATGGAATATTGGCAACCTGAACACCCTCTTGGACATGGTGGAACATGAGTGTGGCATTATCATAGAAGGTGTCAACACTCCCTACCTCTACTTTGGGATGTGGAAGACTACATTTGCTTGGCATACCGAGGACATGGACCTCTACAGTATCAACTACTTGCATTTTGGGGAGCCAAAATCCTGGTAAGTGATCGAGTGGCTGCATACCTTTGCCCACACTTAGAGACCACGGCAATACCCTTTTCTTCAGGTCTACGTCATTCCATCAGGCCTACTTAATCTCTCACGTCCCATTTTTTTCCCTCTCCTACTCCACATTTGAAAACAGTTCTACTTTCTTTTATGTTGACTTGCTTGGAGGCTTAATTCCTGACTTTTCTGTCTAGAAAAGGATCAGAATTAGGGAAATGTGTTGACATTACAAGTAAAACCAGATTTTCAGCACTTGGGGCTTTTTGGAAGCTAATGCACCAGAGAGCATCCCACTAATGTGGGAGAGCAAATGGTGGTGGGAACATGTGGATGCTTCATATGCACTTTAATAGTGAAAGACTATTGTTCTTGCATTGTGCTGTAGGCAGGAAACATCTGTTACTTTAAAATTTTTGTTATTTAAATATGTGAATATGCTTACAACTCCAGAGACGAGGTAAGTCAAAGCATTACTTTTTAATGGTCAGTTTTTAGAATAACGGTAAGTTCAACACTGTTGATGCATAGACTGGTTGGAAATAACTTTCTACAAAAACAATCAATAGATAAGCATGAAATTAGGAAGCTAGGAAATCTGGAATATTTTACAGAGAACCACTCTGTCTTCTTTTTTCTCAAGCTTCCTATTTGAAAGTAAAACCAGAGAGACTTAGCAACCCAAAAGAGCTTTACTGAAGATCTTGATGTGACTAATAAATATTGACATTTGCGTGCAAATTAGAGCTTAAATGTCACTGTGAAGCTGCTGTCATTGTGTCCTGACAGTGGCAGACAAGATCCTCCCATCCCTCTGCAATATGAGTCCCCGGTGACACCAAGTATCTCCAGGCTGTAACTGCCTGGGGCATATAAAAGCTCCCAACAGCGAGGGGCTGTAATGAATGGGTGTAGTGTTCTTTTCCAGTCTTGAAGAGGAGTGGATCTCTAACATTCAGCTGTAGTCTAATGTGAACTTTTAAGATCTTTCTAACATCTCGGAACAATCTGTTTTCCTGGCATACCCGATTCTTAGTCTCTTTCAGGCAGATGCGCGAGGATTTTGCAGAATCTCTTCTGATGTCTCTGTTAAACAAGCTTGGTCTCAAGGAGCATATCTCTGGATTAGGAATGCAACGCGGCACGCTCTCATTTTAGATCCTGTCATTTTTTTTCTTTCATCTTCAGAAGCAGTTCACTCAAAATGGTTTTTTTTGGTCCCTGTCCCCGGTAGGTGGTGCCACCAGCACACCCGGAGCGCTCCCAGTGCGGTGACCACCAGCAGAGCCAGTCTCTTCTCTCCTTTAGTGGGGTGGTTTCAGTCTCAGCACGCTAGAGTTGGCTGCTCCGAGCTGAATGAGCGACCGAGCCGAGGTTTGTGTTAGGGTCATGCGATCGTGGCTGGCTCTGACCGCTCCTTTCATGCCTGCGCGTTATCGCCTCTGCCTCATCTGTCTTCTGATGGCTTTTTGTTCTGAGCCCAGAACAGAGGGTTATTGCTTTCAAAAAGTAGAAATAAGAACAGATTACCTTGAAAAGAGAAGCTGGTTACAGCATGGAAATAACGGCTGTTCCAGCAGCTCTCACATCGTGAGCAAAAGGTAGAGAACAGATGTGAAATGAAATATACGCCAAGGGCTTGTAGCCCAGCTTAAACTGTTTTTCTTCTTGCATGCTTCTTGGGAACTTTAGCAACCAAACTGTTGTTTGGTTTTGGTTTGTTCTGTGTTTTTTTTGTTTTTTTAATTGAGTTTGGTTGGGGGGTTGTTGGGGTCTTTTTTGAACTGGTTTTTATTTTTTATTTTTTGGTATTGTAGATACAATGTGTGGATATCCACATACTATGTATATCATCAGGATGAGAAACTCATTTGTTTTTTTAATTGAGTTTGGTTGGGGGCTCATTGGGCTCTTTTTTGAACTGGGTTTTTTTTTTTTTTGGTATTGTAGATACAATGTGTGGTTATCCACATACTGTGTATGTCATCAGGATGAGAAACTCGTTGCATGAAGCTGTTGCCTCATCTTTACCAAACAGTGGTTTTTCCTTATGTTTGATGTTGTTTTTGTGGGAAATACAGATTGCATAGTAGAGAAACAAACAAAACAAACCTCCAAACAGTAAAACCCACAACACCTTTGTGTAGCATGTCTGTGTGAAGAGGTTAAGAATCAGAAAGAAGTGGAAATTGTAGATGGAAAATTATATCCGACAAATACCAGACCTTGGAAGTCCTTGGTAGATTTTATTTCTGTCTAATCTTCTAAGGATTTGGGGGAGATGCTGGGGAACACCTGATACTCCCCTAAGAGGGGTTTCAGGTGTTGAAGAGTTCAGTCACTAATGCTTATAATTGGAATAGAGAAATCATAAAATCTGGTAAAGGAGCTCAGATGTTGCTGGTTAAAAATCAAAGCAGGAACATGCTCTGCACCTGGTTGGGTTTTTTTGTGGTGGTGTGTGATGGGTGAGCCCATTTTATTTTTTTAAAGAAGTTACTTTTACCTCACTTAAAAAGGAGGGAAGGATTTCTATCCAGCCATTCTCTGTGTAGTTCCTCTGTAGTAACTAGTTCTGTAAACCTTGCGTGGTTGGGGGGAAAATGAGGATTTTGAGGACAGACCGTGTTTTGGGCAAAACGTTTTCGTGTTCAACTGAGTTTTCCTGTATAGATGACAGCGTGTAACGCAAAAGGAGATGTATTGTGACGGGGTGCCACTGCTGGTTTGGCAGAACTCCCTGCTGTTCCCTTAAGCGTAGAGCAAGAGTATGCCACTTGCCCAGGTCATTTCTTCCTTTTTCTTCACTGTGACAGCTTCTGTTAATGAGTTCTCAAGCTCTTCCATGAACAAGCATTGGCTTCTGAGGAGTCCATCTGAACACCCCTTTGAGCAGCCCTGGAACTTTCCAGGTACCCGAGCAATCGCCCATCTTCTGGTTGTGATTGCAGTCATCGCAGAGCTCAGCTGGGGGAGCTCTTGGACTTTGCGATGAAATTCCAGCGGCGCAGCCGGGCTTAACTCAAAGATGGCTAAAGCCTTAGTTCTGTTTTTCTGGTGCCACCTCTGTGGAAATTTCCCAGTTTCCTTCATCCTTTTTATAGACTCTTTGACTCTGACAGCGATCATCTTCGCAACACCTCGGGGAACAGCAGGAGTGTGGAGAGTTACAAAGTCTACCGCTTTGGGTTTGAGCTCTAAAATAAGAGGCAGAGTTATTGTTTGGCTGTCAGAGATATTTATGTAGTGAAACCAAAGACTCTGTACGTTGGTAGTATTCTGCTTCAAAATTGTCTGTTAAAAACCATAACTCTTTTTTTCATATCTGTCATACATTGTCTTCAGCTTCGTTAATCCAGGCTGGGCAGCCAAAGCCCAGCTTTGCAGGGTAGCGTGGAGGAGTGGTGGGAAGCCACCAGCTCTGTTGCCCCATGAAGGCAAGGTAAGAATGGAACCGGGCCAGTTGAGGTTGCCTCCCAGACCTCGTTCAAGTAGGTTCTGCAAGAAATCTGTCTGTCTATTTGCTGTGGAAGAGGTGAAGTACCTTCTCAGGGAGGTTTGGATGATATGTTCAGAGCAGGAGAAGCCACCTCAGTGGACAAAGATAAGCTGAGAAAGGAATCTGTCTCATGGGCCAGGGAGGGTAGTTTCTGGAATATTTTTTCATACGTGTCTTTGATTTCTCTCTTTGGAATTCTGGGCTGTACCTCTTACAGAACGGGTGCTTTGGGGACTGTTGGGATTGCAGATAAAATAAATATCTATGGCTCAACAACCGAAGGTGGCTCTTTGTACAACCTAATGAGCATCTGCTTGGTCGTACAACTCCTTGATTAATGTGTGTCTCTCGCTGCAGAGGAGTCCTGCTGCCAACACTTTGTTGTACCGTTTCTTTCCATAAGCAGAGCAGAACAGGCTGCAGCAGTACGAGTTGTCTACGCAGAGTCGTGTCACCGGGGGCACGGGTTAAAGAACGGTTCAGCGCCCAGTGAAGTGCTTGAGCAGTAAGGGGTCATCCGGTGATGAGGGAGAAGAAAGGGGGTAATGGAAGGCAGCTTTTTTCCTGCTTCCAGTCTCATTAAATGATTTATCTATGCCTGTAGATTGCAATGCATTTATTTCAGAAATTCTGCCGCGTTGTACCAAGAACGAGCACCGTTCTGTGTCCGCAGCCATTGTGGCTGCTGTTGCTAAGAGATCCATCCTGCCCCTTTCGGGTGACACTCGCCTCGTGGCAAAGATGATCATCTTTCCTGATGTGCTGTTTCACGGCTGCGTGCGTCTGGACCACGTTGTCGTCGCACTGTTGTTGTTTTTAACTGGAAAATAAGTCTGACAGGCTGAAGAGGTAGCGCAGAAGGTGTGGGCACTTCCCATCCAACAGACCAGGAATTGGGAGCTGTTGGGTAACTTCATGTTAAGCTTCTGATCGAGTCTCCTGCTCGCTTGTTTCTCAAATTATAAAAAAATGTCCCTCTCACATTAGTAGCTTAATTACAACCTTTTCATAGTCTGTCTTCAGTTTTTTCAAAAGTTGGAATGTCTTTCCTTTTGCAGCCCTATATTAAACCTCTTGTGGTAGGAGTTGCTACTGTATCAATTACACATATTGTGTATAATTAGTTTATACATTCATATGCTGAGACTTAAAATAGAGTGTATTGTCAAACGATGCTAACCCAAAGACTGATTTTCATAATGACAGAAGCAACAAAACTGAATGCCAAGCCCAGCGCTTCATGGTTATTATGGGTTTTCATTGAGGAACGTGTGCATCTCAATCCTTGCGATTTCAGAAGTGTATTTTTAAACACCGAGGTACTCCACCATCACTTTGTTTCATCTCTTATAAAAATGTGCAGTGCCTACCTTGAGGGCTTCCTGTGGTAGGGAAGTGCCGAAGGAAACTTTAGATCTCAATAACGTGAATTTGATGGATGCACTTAGGAGGCAGTCGTGTCTCCATCTGGGTAATGGGGTTATTTTTCTCAGAT